TCACTTAACATAATGCCCTTGAAATTGTAAGACTTTCCTTTTTCCCATGGCTGTGTAATATTCCACTGTGTATGTGTGTGTGTGCACACACATGCACACATTTTTTAATCCATTTATCTGTCAACGGACACTTAAATTATTCTCATGTTTTGACCCCTGTAAATAATGCTGCACTGAACAGGCGGGTGCAAGTATCTCTTTCAGAGAGTGATTCTGTTTCCTTCAGATACATACCCTGAAGTGGAATTGTTGGACCACAGGGTACTTCTCTGTTTAATTGTATGAGGAACCTCCATGCTGTTTTCCACCAATTTACATTCCCACCAACAGTGCACAAGGGTTCCTTTTTCTCCACATCCTTGCAGACACCTTTTGGATGATAGCCATCCTAACAGGCATGAGGTGATATCTCATGGTCATTTTGATTTACATTTCCCTGATGATTAGTGATGATGAACACCATGTTACGTAGGTGTTGGCCATTTATTTGTGTATCTTCTTTGGGAAAATGTCGATTAAGGTCGTTGGCCCATCTTTCAACTGGATTATGTTTTTGGTTTTTGCTATTGGGTTGTAGGAATTCTCTTATATTTAGGATATCAATCCCTTACCATGATTTACAAATATTTTCTCTCCTTCTGTAGGCTGCCTTTTCATGTTGGTAATGGTTTTCTTTGCAGGGTAGAAGTATTTTAGTTTGATGTAGTTCCACTTACTGACTTTTGCTTTTGTTTCATTCTTTTTCTTTTGGTATTGAATCCAAAAAATCGCTAAGCCCAACACTCAAGGAGATTATCCCACTGTTTTCTTCTAGGAGTTTCATGGTTTCATGGTCTTAACATTCAAGTTTTTAATCCATTTTAAATTGATTTTTGTGTATGGTATAAGAAGGTGGTCCAATTTCATTCTTTTGCGTGTAAATGTCCAGTTTTCCCAGTATCATTTCTTAAAGAGATGATCCTTTTCCCATTGTCTATTTTTGGTGCCTTTGTCATAAATTAATTGACCATATGTATGTCCAGTAAAAAGGCATATTCATATTTATTTCTGAGCTCTCTATTCTATTCCACTGGTCTGTTTCTGTTTGCATGTCAGTACTGTACCATTTTGGTTACTATGGTTTTGTAACACAGTTTGAAATCAGGCAGTTGACATTTCCAGCCTTTTCTTTCTCAAGCTTGTTTGGCTATTCAGGGGTCTTTCATGGTTCCATACAAACTGTAGCATTGTTTTATTTCTGTGAAAAATGCTGTTGGAATTTTGATAAGTGCTGTAATGAATCAATAGATTTCTTCATGTACTAAACATACTTTAAACACATTAATTCCTCCAATCCATGAACAAAAAATATTTTTCCATTTATTGGTGTCTTCTTTTTAATTTTTTTCCTTAATGTCTGATAGTTTTCAGTGAACAAATCTACCTCCGTGATTAACTTTATTCCCCGGTATTTTATTCTTTCCCATGCAACTGTAAATGGGATTGTTTACTTAATTTCCTTTTTGGTAGTTGGTTTTTAGTGTAAAGAGTTTTTTCAAAGAGCGTTTTTTCCCCCCATAATAAACTAAGTTCTTGTACACATAAAAATGTTTTTAACTTCCCCTCATAATGAAGTGATATTATCGCTGGGTTAATACTTTAGGGTTCACAGTTCTTTTCCTTCAACACTTTGAACAGATATCTTAATAGTTTTCTTGCATTCAATGTTGCTGTTGAGAAGTCTGATACCGATTTCAATTATCTTTACAATTTACTTGTTCTCTTTGAAAGTTTTTAGACTTTTCTCTTGACCTAGGATATCCTTAAATTTTACTATAATGTGTCTAAGTCTGCGTTTTTAAAAATCTATTCTCTTTAGCACATAATGATGTATCTAGATAATTACTGGGAAATTTTAGGTGACTTATTTCTTCCAGTACTTCTGACTCTCTATTTTCTTCTTTCTCCTTGAAAGTCCTACTACAGACATTGAAGCTAGCTCTCGTATCGTCTTAGACAACCCATCTCATGTTCCGCCTCGTTAACTCGTTCCTCTGCTATATCCAGTCTCTTCCTTCCACTAAGGCTGTCTGCTGAGCATTTTACACGTCAGCAGTTATATTTTCACATGAACACTTGCAACTCATCTTTCTTCACAGCTGCCTTATCTTGCTCCATGTTACCAATTATACTTCCTTTTTTTAAATTAACTTTTTGAGATGTCAATTGTGCCTATTTATTTTATCATATTGTGGCCTTGAAATTTTGCTTTGTCTAGCCTAAGTTATGCAGATTGTTTTTTTTTTTTTTTTTAATACCAGTTATACTTCTGTGTATCTCATTATCTTTTCAGATCCATCAACCTGTGTCTCATTCTCTGGGTTTATCCAGGGTTTACATTCTGGGGAGGGAGGTCATTTAAATTTTTCCAATTTCTAGAATTTCTCGTTAGGAGCTTGAGATAAGCAACTAAATCTTCACGTTCCTACCATGATCAATACTTTAGTCATAGTTTGTCGACTAGAATGAAAACACAGTAATTCAACTGAATTGTTCACTAAAGATTTCCCTTTCTCAGTGATTTGTCAACTTCAACCTTAGATTCTTCCTCAACCATTTCTTCTTTACAGTGTGTCCTCTAAACTCTACCCCTTAAAAGATTTCAGTAGCAGATTTCAAGACGTTCAATTTAGGAAAATGGAAGTAAGGAGATCACAAAACAGAGAGCAAGCATAGAAGCAAAAATCTCCACCCATCAGAAACTTCCATTTGTTGTATTACCTACATGAACTAACCATGCCAGATAAGTAACAAATGCCAATTTGTTTTTCTAGAACCCCAAACCTTTTCGAATTATGGCTTAATTATACATTTATTTTGTTTGTTAACTGTATATCTAATCGTAGATATCATTTGAAAGAAAATACTCTGAGGGGCGCCTGGGTGGCTCGGTTGGTTAAATGTCCAACTGCGGCTCAGATCATGATCTCATGGTTCATGAGTTCAAGTCCTGTGTTAGGCTCTGTGCTGACAGCCCAGAGCCTGGAGCCTGCTTCGGATTCTGCCTCCCTCTCTCTCTGCCCCTCCCCTACTCGCACTCTGTCTCTCTCTTTCTCAAGAATAAATTCACATTACAAAAAAAAAAAAAAAGAAAAGAAAAAAAGAAAAAACTTAGAAATGTACAGATCTATGCAAATATTGGCTTCATAGCTTACTACCTGTGTGATATTTGGAAAGTTAATTTCTCTAAACCTTAGTTTTCTACTCTAAGGAGACATAATAGATATTTTCACATGCTGTAATTAAATTAGGAACTTTTGGACATATGATTGAAATAACAGTGATAGAAATAACAATATAGTAGGTAAGGCCTAGGGCATAGTCCTGTTCAATAAATTGTAGGTAAGGGCACCTGGGTGGCTCAGTCAGTTAAATGTTCAGCTCTTGATTTCAGCTCAGGTCATGATCTCATAGTTGTGAGACTGAGCCTGATGCAGCGAGGAGCCCACTTAAGAGTCTCTATCCCTCTCCCTCTGCCCCTACCCAACTCATAAGCACTCTCTCTCAAAAACAAATGAATTGTAGATATAATTATGAAGCTGCCGTTTATACCACCTCACGCAGGTCAGAGTGGCTAAAATGAACAAATCAGGAGACTCTAGATGCTGGCGAGGATGTGGAGAAACAGGCACCCTCCCATACTGTTGGTGGGAATGTAAACTGGTGCAGCCACTCTGGAAAACAGTGTGGAGGTTTCTCAAAAAATTAACAAGAGAACTCCCCTATGACCCAGCAATAGCACTGCCAGGAATTTACCCAAGGGATACAGAAATGCTGAGGCATAGGAGCATATGTACCCCAATGTGCATAGCAGCACTCTCCACAATAGCTAAAACATGGAAAGAGCCTAAGTGTCCATCAACTAAAAAATGGATCAAGAAGATGTGGTTTATCTATACCATGGGATACTACATGGCAATGAGAAAGAATGAAATCTGGCCACGTGTAGCAACATGGATGGACCTTGAGGGTGTTATGCTGAGTGAAATAAGTCAGGCAGAGAAGAACAGATACCATATGTTTGCACGTATAGGAGGATTAGGAGGAACTTGACGGAGGACCGTGGGGGAGAAGAAGGGGGAAATGGTGGGGAGAGGGAGGGAGGCAAACCATGAGAGACTCTTGAATGCTGAGAACAAACTGAGGACTCATGGGAGGGGGGGGGAGGAAGGCACTTGTGGGGATGAGCACTGGGTGTTATATGGAAACCAACTTGACAATAAACTATTTAAGGGGAAAAAAAAGTAAGTATAACCCCAAAGAGTTAGCAAAACACAAACCCAGTGTTCCTCTGAATGCTGCAAGCCTGCTGTCATTCTCCTTGATCTAAAATGTGTTTGAGTGCAAGCTAATACCGTGCATGTGGTGTACTCAAGCTATTCCAGGTTTTATACTTTACAATGAGAATAATTAATAATAAAAAATGGTGTGGGATTTTGAAAAAATTGGTGTATCAATTATTTTATTTCCCCTTCAATTTGTTAGTGCCCAGAGCTGATTTGGAAAAAAACAAACAAACAAAAACATTAACAGCATAAAGTAAAAGGAGAATATATTTTAGAAACAGAAATCTTTCAAAAACTTAGAAACTCTAAAAAAGAAAAGGCACAAAACTCCAACTTGTCAGGTTTTTTCAGTAAATAAATAAAACCGACTGAATCGAGCACTCCAGGAGAGGCCCTCCCACTCTCGGCTTCTATCATTTTCCATTTAGATTAAAATCATAAAAAGAGTGAGAAAAGATGGAATAAAAAAAAAACGAAGTTCTGCACCACTCTTCCTACCTTCCCGGTGGTGGTGATTATTTCCATTCGTATACAATTTCTTTTCCAAGCTTTTACGTTTGTGATTGTGAGGAAACCAGTAGCACAAATTATAACAGACATAAAATGCAGAAGAAACCCATTATTAGCACTTTTCCCCCAGAACACGTCATGCGTACATCGCGATGAATTCAGTACCTTAGCTGGAAAGCCCGCTGAACCAGGACATCCCTTTTTCCTTAAGGTGGGTGTGTGAACAGGAAGTGGAGTGCCATCTACAGGCTGAATCCGGGGGCAAGAGAGGAAATAGAGATCATGAGACACTCCATCTATTTCACACATCTCTAAAAAGAAATCAAAGTACAGAAAGCCAAGCAAAACATCGATAAGGCAAAAAAATCTCTCAACGGAGCTAAAATTCTCATACTGTTGATAAATTTAAATTTCAGCCTGCAACGTCTACAAATGAAATATGTGCTCAATTAGCAAAAAAATATTTGTCTGGAGATTTAAAAAGAAAAGAGAACCCAGAGAAGAAAACAAAAACAGCACAGCATGTAGTCTACATAAAAATGAAGATATTAATTTTCAAACTCATCTGAAAATGCCCCCCATTAATTGTTAAAAGTTTGTGTTTTTTAAAGCAGGATTTACAATCAAAATATTTAGAAGTCTTTTAACTCCTAACTTCTATGACAGGATGTATGTTACATACACAACGGAACACAATTCAGTGGATGTGTGTGTGCGCGCATGTAGAAGGAGAAAGAAAGAGTAAGAGACTGATTAATGGGATTCTGAGCAGAAATCAGTTTCCAAAGAAGGAAACCAGACTATTTAATATTATTGGAGTTCAGAACTTAACATACACATTTAAAAGTTAAAAGTCCTATTTATATTCTATAGAGTATTAGTGTAAGATATTTCTTTTAATGAAAGGAACCAGTGATTTTACTGGAAAAGAGACATCACCTAATTAGCAAAGAATTAAAAAAAAAAAAGGCACGAAGAACTACTTCACTTGAGGATGCTAAGCAAGCAGACCCGAGGAGAAAGCTAGCTTTGAATAAAGTTACAGAATATTCTAAAATGTTAAGAGAAAAACAGATGGTCTCTCTTTGTCTTTGCAAACTAAAAAGAATATTTTATATGCCTTATAACCTTAGAATGGAATTGAGTTTCTCAGAATTTTCTGCTTAACTGTGAGGTTAACTTTAATTTAAATTTAATTTACCTTTAAGTAGCTTGAAAAAGTTTTGAACTCTATTTATAAATTCATGTTTAAAAAGGTAAACATGAGAAATAAAAGAAAAGAACACTGAATACCCATATAAAAGTTAGTAAGAAAACAATAGGAAATGAAAGTGACATTAGAATTTAAACAGAAAGTCCAAGAGAAGTTTTGAATAAAAAGGAGTGAAGTAAGGGTGTTGGAGACAAGATTAACAGAGTTCATGAAGACCAGCAATGCCAAGTAAGAATGCATATTTGGAAAAGATCGCATTCACAGTTACCAACAAAATCTTTAAGGTCCCTACACTTAGGAACAAATCTAACAAGCAATAATAAGTCAACGAATGAAGAAAATAACAAAACTCTACTGAAGGATGTAAAAGAACACCTAAATGATATGCATATCATTTTCACAGATGGAAAGACCCAATCACAAAGATGTCAATTTTCCTCAGATAAATCTATACATTCAACGCAATGACAATCAAAAGCCCCACATGGAATGTGACAAGCTGATCATAAAAGTCATATGTAAGACTAAAGGGTCAAAAAAGAAAAGGAAGAATAAGGTGGGTGGGAGTGGCTGATCACACCAGGCGAATGACTTCAGGGTTACAGTAATCAAGACAATGTGATGCTGGTGCAGGAACAGACCAAAACAAAAGAAACAAACAAAAAATAGAAGAGAAAAAAGAACCCCCAAACAGATCAATTTATATAAACAGAGAGAGTTTACAAATTGATGGGGGAAATATAAGACAGTTGTTCATATGAGAAAAACAGATTAAGTTTATTTTGAGACAGAGGGAGAGAGAGAGAGAGAGAAACACAAACAAGTGGGAGAGGGGCAGAGAGAGAGGGAGAGAGAGATTCCCAAGCAGGCTCCATGCTGTCAGCACAGAACCAGATGCAGGGCTCGATCTCACAAACCATGAGGATCATGACTTGAGCCAAAATCAAGAGTAGGATACTTAACTGACTGAGCCACCTGGGCGCCCCTGAGAAAAATAGATTAGGAAACCCATTTCACATCATTTGTAACAATCAATTTCAGTTTAAGGTCCTAAACATGTTAAAATAAAGGATTTTAAACTCATAGAAAAAATATGAAAGAAAACTTTTATAAATGCTGCACAGGGCAGAGTTGCTTTAGAAAGGCATAAAAAACAGGAGTCACAGAGGAAAAGATTGGTACATAAGACTACTTTAAAATAAACACCGTTGCAAGACAAAAAGATACCAAATAAAATTTTAAAGTAAGCCACAGACGAGAAGGAAGAATTTGCAGTGCATATAAGCCAGCTAAGGATTAGTATCCAGATTATATAAAGAACAGTTACAAAACAAAAGGAGCAACAATTCAACATAAAAAGAGACAAAAGACATAAACAGGCAAATCACCAGTGGTCAATAAACATATAAAAGGATGCTGAATTAACACTTAAGGTCATAGAAATGCAAACCAAGAATAAAAATACCAGTCCATACCCATCAAATTGGCAAAAGTTAATGTCTGGCAGTACCAAGGGTTGGCGAGGATGTGGGAAAAGGGGGGAACTCTCACACATTGCTGGTGGGAGTGACAATTGGTTCAACCACTGTGGAACATAATTTGGCAAAATCTAGTTAAAGTTGAAAATGCATATACCACACAATCCAATAATTCAACTTCCAGGTACATATGCTAAACATACTCTGCACATTTGCAAAAGCAGACAGCTACTAGAATGTTCACTTCAGCACTGACTGTGATAACAAAGATTGGAAATAGATATCCGGTAACAGGATACTATTAAATATTCTAAATTTCCAACAACAGGAGAATGCGTAAATGGCTGTGGTACATTCATACAACGAAGTATGACGTTATGGTTATGATGAGTGGACTAAATGGACACGTATCTGCAGGAGTAAAGTTCAAAAGCATCCTGTTGAATGAAAGCGTTTACAGGAAGATACAGATGGCCTTTGTGTAAAACACAAACGTAAAGCAAATGTTATCATGTATGGTTTCTGGATATAAATGAAGTAAAACGCAAAACCGATGAAGAGGAAGTACGTCAATGTCGGGGTCTTCAGACTTGTCTGAGAAAGGAGGAAGGGGAAGGGTAGGGAAGGGTGTTTCAACTGCCTGGAATGTCTTCCTTCTTTGAAAACAAATTGGAACAGAGCAGGGCAAAATGTCCACACATCTGCTACATCTGTGGATGGTGGTTGTGTGGGTGTTTCTTATTCTCTCTGTGCTTGAAATATTTCAACAGTCAGAATGTATAAAGTCAAAACAATGACTTAAAAAAAAGCAAAGTGTCATCAACTTAAGCAGTCTAAGGCCGTCTCCCACAGGGTTGTAAAAACCCAAGTCAACTCCAACTCCAGCTCCCACTTCATTTCAGACAGCTTTCCCACGCGGACTGTCTGCTTCTCCTGGATGCTAGATGCAGCTCCGGGGAGGGCACGGGGAGCAAAGGAGCAAAGTCAGAGCCGCACATGAGTGGACAAGCCAACTGCACCAACTGAGGCACGAAGGCCTGGCGACCTGTTGGGAAAATGACCTCTGCTGGGAAAACTGGCCAGCTGGCTGCTTAAAGCCATTAATGTGAGGGGCACATGGGTGGCTCGGCCGGTTAAACGTCCAGCTTCAGCTCAGGTCATGATCTCATGGCTTGTGAGTTCGAGTCCGCGTCAGGCTCTGTGCTGACAGCTCAGAGCCTGGAACCTGCTTCAGATTCTGTATCTCCTTCTCTCTCTGCCCTCCTCAACTCACTCTCTCTCTTTCTCTCTCAAAAGTAAATAAACATTAAAGTAATAATAATAATAAAAAAAAGCCCATTAAGGTGGTGTTCTACCGAAAGGTGGGCTTTAGCTGAATGCCTACTGCTGACTGAGCGGTTAGAATACGCTGTTCGCTGGCCGGCACTGGCAATTTTAACTTTAAAACTCTACCTCTGAAGTGTCAGTTATGCCTATTTTATTAGATCAGAAGAATTAAAATAAGAGACTGGCACCTGACACTGCCGGGCACCTCCGAGGTCCCCATCTGATAGTTCCGAAATTTAGAGAACTCTGCCCTCCATTCCACAGAGTCCTCTACTTAAGGTACAGTCTACTTTTATAACTAAATAAATATTTGTCTGTTTTAGGTTGAACCTGGAGGGACAATTTCCTTCTTTTGTTTCACAGTCCTATTCACATAATAATAATAATGCAATTCATCCAACAGCCTGTAACTTATTCCAGAATATATTTGATTCAAACAGGAGTCAGATTTCACTTGTTTCTGTGATTCCCTCTTTCCTGACAACAAGGGAAAGGTTGGGGGGCAAGGCTGCTCCCGTGAGGCACCTTCACTGGCTCAGCTTCACTAGATGTGGAGGGAGATGTGGACCTTGACTGGCTGTAAACCATGACGTTAGCATTCAGTACGTATGTGTCCTCAATGGGGTCGGTCTAGGAAGATAAGTCAGGAAACACAAAAATCCAAGAAATCACTTTCAAACAGTGTGCAGCTGGTGGCAAATCTCTGGAAGGCATGGTCATGGTAACATTTCTTGAGAAGAGAGGGAAACGAACTTCAGCGTGAATATTCGCCTTGGGGCGCGTCACCCACAGGAGGCCGCCCCTTCAATGGGAACAAGGCGAAAGGCAGCAACAGGCGCCGAAACGCTCCCGTCTTCACGGCTGGCCTCTCACTCCGTGTCCTGGTCTCTACTCTACGTTCTTTATGCGGAGTCCCCATGAAATGTTCATGTCTCACAAAGCAAATCTTATACGCAAGTCCCGAGGACTTGACAGAGCTACATCCTGCAGATTCCAGATAATTCTGGCCTTTGTAAGAAGGAATCTGGTCCCCTCCCAGGCATTCCTTGCAGGAAAAGGAACCTCACTTATCAGCTTTGTGTCTGTGACTGCGGGTGACAGAATATGCTGCCATATTCTGCGGCAGAAGAAATGCCAGCACTTACACGCACTGTACCCTTTTAACCAAGTATTTTTAGAGACTCAAAAGGCTTTGGGTTAAAATGGAGCATGGAAGATCTCATGGGGCATAA